AATCTATTCTTTCAGTTACTTATCCAAAAGTAGTCTTCATGTGCCTTTAAGTTCCAGAAGTATGTATGAATCAGTGAATTGTGGGATTTTTAGCAAGATATGTAACTTGAGATCTTTTTGTTGTTCTTGGGGCAGGAGTATTTTTTTATTATTTGCTTTGAGTCAGAGGTTCAGGATGGCCTTGAACTTACAACTTTCTTGCCCACTCTTACCCCCATGCTAAGATCATAGGCACATGCCATCTGGTCCAGGTCTAAGATCCTCTTATCAGAACACTGTGTCATAACTAAACAAAACTTTTATCATTCTTTTACATTGTTTTCCTCTATCGCAAAACTCATGGCTAGCACACCTATGTAACAAAGCACAGATTAACATTTATAGACTGTAAGCCGTACTTGACACGGGAAACTTCAGAAATAAAGCTTCAAAGACCAGGGGATAACATTTTCTTGAACAACTTCTCACTTTTGCATCATCACAAATTTAAAAACCTTAAGGCGAACCATGCTGAGTTTAGGATGGTCTATTTATATTCAAACTTTAGGGAAAAGCTTAGACTTCATCACTGCTGAGACGATAGAGGTCCGGAACCTGGTTCCTGCCTATTCCACTGATAAAACGGGGACTGAAATTAGGACAGCGGTTTCCTGGGGCTAGGAGCAGAGCAGGGATTGCTTCAGAAGAGACAGAAAGTGTCCCTGTGTGGTGGCAGGAGTATTTTAAGGTTAAGGACACAGCTTCAGTGGTAGAGTACTTGTCCAGCATTCACAAAGTCTGGACTGGATCTCCAGTATGGAAAACCAATGAACCAAAATGTTTTATAAGGTTGCTGTGTACCTCTATAGGTGTGTTGATTCTTTATAATATAAATTTACAGTGAGTCGCCTTTAATCCCAGCACTAGGGAGGCAGAGGCAGGCAGATCTCTGCGAGTTCGAGGCCAGCCTGGTCTACAAGAGCTAGCTCCAGGACAGCCTCCAAAACAATACAGAGAAATCCTGTCTCGAAAAACCCCAAAAAAAAATTTACAGTGAGTGAGCTTTATGGCTGTGCGTAGGGAGAGATCTGACGTACCCGTAGCACTGACCACACCCGTGCGAGTGTGTTCACAGGTACGTGGAACGTACCGGGGATAAAATGAGTTAGGGGGAGGAGGCTCTTTTGGGGGGGCTCCAGTTTTCAGTTTGCTTTCTGAACCCTCAGTCAAGCTTTAATAAATTGTTAGTAATATATCGCCACAAACTGGGGCAATAACTTAGGGGATAAAGTGCAGCCTTGCAAGAGCGAGGACCAGAATTCCGTCCCCAGCAACCATCTGGAAGCCAGGAATGACCACACATGCCTGTAACTGTAAGAATGGGGCAGGTTCAACAACTGGATTTCCATAGCTTGCTGGACACTTCACTTAACTAGTCAGTGAGCTCCGAGTTCAATGAGAGATATTCTCTCAAAAAGATAGAGTGTAAGCAACAATGACCAGACTGACCTCCACACCACACACACACACACACACACACACAGCTTAACAAAGCACTTGTAATCCCAGTGCAGAGACCGCAGATACAGGTAGATTCCTGGGACTCACTTCCTGTCTAGTCTAGGGTACTTGGCGAGTTCTAGCACAGTTAGAAACCCTGTATTAGAATAAAAACAAACAAATAAATCCTGAGGAACACAGTCCAGGTTGTTCCTACTTTCACATCTTTGTGTATATACATGCATACACTCAGACAGAAGCATCTACACACACACAAATAACAAAATATTAACAAGCTGAATCTAGGAACCCATTAAAATATTGATTCAAAAGTCAAGAGTGGTAGCATATGCCTATAATTCTAGTAATTTAGAGGGAAAGGTAGGGGGATCAGAAGTACAAGGCCAGCCCCAATTACATAGTTAATTCAAAGCCAGATTTAATTACATAAGAACCTGTCTAAAAAAATACCATAGTTAACCCCAGGGATAGAAATATGGTTCAACAAATGAAAATCAATAGACATATGTAAATGGAAGTTTCTTGTCCTGTTCCCTGTCCCAGAAGCTGCTTCCCAAATTACCACACAGAGGCTTAATATAGCAAATAAATGCTCAGTTAATAGCTCAGGCTTATTACTAACTAGCTCTTACACTTTAAGGTAATCCATATTCCTTATTTATGCTCTGACACATAGCAGGTTCATCCCCTACTCCCTGACTCTGCCCTTCTCCTTCCCATCATCCTTAGTTTGGTCACCCTGCCTATACTTCCTACCTGGCTACTGGACAATCAGCATTTTATTAAACCAATTTGAGTGACAAATCTTTACAGTATACAAGAGGATTATTCCACAGCAGATGTAGAAAGAGTATTTGATAAAATTCAATATCCCTTTGTGATAAAATTTCTAAACCAGCATATAGTATGAGTAAACCTCAATGAAATAAAGATCATGGCAAATAAGCCATATTTAGCAGGGAGAAAGCCAAAAGCTTGCTAAGATTTGAAACAAGATAAGGATGCCCACTTTCACCATGTATATTCAACATAGTACTGAAAATCCTAAACAGGGTAATCAAGAAAGGGAAAACAAATAAAGGGTATAAAATTGTAAAGGAAGTCAAACAGTCACTATTTGCAGATTGTATAATCTGGAATGATCTCATATGTAGAAAGTAGCTGCAAACTATTAAAGATACAAATTCAGCAAAATTAAGAATACAACATTCAAACTCAGTAGGGTTGATATATACCAATCAAGAAAACAATTTATAATAGCTGTAAAACAAAAATTTTCCAAAGTCAGGAGAAATTTCTTCAACAAAAACTATAAATACATATGAAATAAATTTGGGAGGAGACACACAAATGGGAAGTCATCTCATATTCATGGATTGCAAAAATCAATGTTAAATGTTCACACTGCCCAAAACAAAATGTAGATTCAATACAGTCTTTATTAAAATGCTAGAAACAATATTTGATGAATGAAAAAGAAAATATTAAAATTAAATCACACCACAAAAAAATTAAATAACCAAAGCCATCATGACCTAAATGAACAAAGCAGAAAGCAAAATACACTACAAGCCATAGTAATCAAAGAAATATGGTATATCACCAGGTGTGATGGTAAATGTGTCTAATCCCACCACTCTGGAGGCACAGGCAAGCAGAATATATGAAGATATAAAATAATAAAAAACAAAATACCTAATAATCCAATTGAAATGAGCTTTATAATTAGTTCATAAGAAAAGCATACAAAGGGTCAATATATGTGTGTAAAAATACACATCACTAATCTGGAAGGAAGCACAAATCAAAACCAGAGTATTATCTCCTCCCAGTGGGAACCGTGGTTAGCAGTGGTGAGGGTGTGGAGAAATGGGACCCCTCACACATTGCTGGTGTGGACGCCAATCTGTACTCCCACCGTGGAAGTCAGTGAGTAGCTTGTGGGGAAAAGAAAACAGAACTGTCATAGGATCCAGCAATCCCGCTACAGGGAATGTGTCAGAAAAGACAGGAGGGTCAGGACTGGAGAGGAAGCTGACTAACTGTGAGCCTGGGAGCAAGCTTTCCTCCATGTTCCTCACTTGCTTCCAGGATGGGGCTTGACTGGGATGAGTGAGTGTTAGCTTTTTTGAGGTTTCAGACGGGATGGGACAGGGATGGATTATGGCACTCAGGAGTCACAGAATACTGAGTATTACAGCTCGGATGGAAAGGTGTTCGGGCACTCGGGAGCCAAGGACCACCACAGGTCACAGTAAGCATAGCAGCTTACAGCCTTGCTTCAGGGAGAGGCTTCCCTAGTGCCTCAGCTCTGTTGGGGCAGGAGAGGGTTTCCCTAGCAGGAAATGGCTAAATTGTTATAGTTTGGCTCCAGTCCCCCAGAGAGCAGAGTGTAACAGCTTGGCTTAGGCAGGGGAAGATTTCCCTGGGCAAAAAGTGTTACAGTCCTGCTCTGCTCTGCCCCGCCCAGTGAAAGAAGATCTTCACCCAAACCTCCTTCAAGAGATTTATTGGGAGGGAAGAATCCAGGAGAGTGGCTGCCCTCTACCAGGGTGGCAGAGGACAGCTGGGCAGCACGAACAGCCACAAGCTGCACAGACACAGGGTTTATATAGGGATTCTTGGGGGGGGGTGGAGTTTTCCAGGGTTGGGATTGGTCAGATTTCAATCCCTGAGCTCAGGATGGCTAGAACTCCTGCTCAGCGATTGGTTGGTTTTCTGCACAGGGTTAGGGTCAGATTGGGCTCTGGTTTCAGGGCCAAAGTGTGTTTCTTTCACAGGCTCTGACTCCAGAGACAAAGTGTGTTTCTTTGGCACTGGTTTCAAGGCCATGGTGTATTTCTTTAGTTCCGGTCCTCTTTAGCCTTTTGGCTCTAGATTTAGGGCCAGGGTGCATTTCTTTCACTGGCTCTGACTCCAGGGACAAAGTGTGTTTCTTTGGCTCTGCTCAGAGTGTGATTCTGTGGCTGGCCCCTTTCCCTTACAGTGAGCCGATCGTTTTCTCCTCCAGGCGATTCCCGAGCTTCTCTCCTCGGGTCTCTCGGGAGCCAGAGTTCTCCGACCCGGTTGGCGAGGGCGGGCAGAAAGCTTCTCCTGAGACCTGGGACAGGCGGCTCGGTGTCCCGCCCTCTGCGCAGACGGTGTCCCGCTCTCTGCGCAGACGCAGTCCTCCTAGGACTCGCCTGGCTCCTCCAGCCGGAACCGCCCACCAGGTTAAGACATCCGCGCAGGCGCAGTCGTCGCTTCTGCTCCACCTAGCCGACTTGGGCTCCTTGTCTGCGAGAGCCTAGCGCCCTCTAGCGGACGGCCTCCGCGCAGGCGCAGTCGGTGCCTATCCGGCCCGCTCAGCCCTGCCTGCTCCGGGGATGCCACCGCGCAGGCGCGGTCGGTGCTTTCTTGCGGCTGCTCAGCCCCGCCCACGGAACCCCGAAGCGTCGGCTTGGGGGCGGGGCTCTGGCGGCGCAGGCGCCGTGGGGAGGCGGCTCCGGCAGTCCCGGCGGGCCGCTGGTGAGGCCGCGGCTGGCGTTTCTCCGGTGCTGACGGGCCGCGGGGGCGGGCCCGGAGCTCTGGCGGCACCACGGAGGCTCAGGCTGTGTCCGAGGGCTCGCGGCCGGGCTCCGCGTGCCCGGAGTCGGCCCCTCCGGTGACGGTGCTGGTGATGCGGCAGGACGAGGCCGCGGCGGACGGCACTCCGAGGCCGGGCCCGGCGGGGAGCGAGGCGGTGGCGGCGGCGGATGCGGAGGACGAGGCGGGGGACGACGACGCCGACCTGCTGGACCCCTCGGACCCCGCGGGCGGCGGCGAGAGTGCGGCCAGCCCCGAGGAGCCCGAGGACGAGGGCGCGGAGGGCGGCGGCGCGGCGCGCAGGCGGGGCGCCAAGACCTGCACCTACCAGGGCTGCCGCGAGACCACCAGCCAGGTGGCCAAGCAGCGCAAGCCCTGGATGTGCAAGAAGCACCGCAACAAGATGTACAAGGACAAGTACAAGAAGAAGAAGAGCGACCAGGCCCTGGGCTCCGCCGGCGCCCCCGCGGCCGGCACGGGCAGCGTCAAGCTGGAGGTATGCGTCCCGGGCCGGGGCAGCTGGGTGCAGCCCGGCTCTGCACGGATGCGGGGGGCTCCCACACCCGCTCCCGGGGGGGCCGGGCTCAGCCTCCACCCCGATCCGGTGGCGAGTGCGCAGACAGCGGGGACCCCAGCTGACACCGGTGCCTTGGAGGAGGAGATCTGCCTGCCCCTCTTGTCCGCAGCCCCTCCCCGCCCAGTCCCTAGCGTCCCGCGTGTTACAAACCCCCGTCCCCGGCTGTCAGTGTCCTCAGTGCCCCTGTCCTTTTAACCAGCCGTCCCCCGGAAAAGTTGGCTCGTGGGCGGGGCTGGTGAGTCTCGGAGCGCTTTGGGGGTTGCTTGGTGTGAGCCGCGTGCGTGGCGGGCGAGGGTGAAGAACCACGGTGTGCCCTCTGCACTCGGGATTCGCCTCGCTGAAGTTTCAGCTCCCTCGTCTGGGGGCCTATGCGGTGTTTCCTTCAGGGTTATTTTCGTTAGGTGAAGATTCTAATGGGTGCGCATTTCCGCTCAAGCTTAGCCAAATCCACCTAAGTGTTTGAGCTGTTTACAACGAAAAAGAATCCCTAAAAAGTAGGAGGACTCCTTACCTCAAAAATTCCCTTTGGAAGGGGAATCCTAACACTTGTGGAAGTTTGGTCTAGATGGCTCAGAATTGTTTCTACTACAAGCGTCTTTGATTTTGTGGTTCTTTGCATATCCCAGGCCCTGAAGTCCACCCTTAGCAAAGTCTCCCAGTTTTCATTGTCATACTGTGGCTTTATTAGGGACAGAATGTTTCATTTAACTTCAGCAACGTCGTATGTAAGGGAAACTAACTATTTAGGTTCTTCCGTATCTGGGGTCAGCACTGCTAATTGTTTATGGGATTCGATGTCTCAGGGTAAGGTTGCTGTTGCAGAACTTGCCTGTTTGCTGTGTACTGTGGCTTCACACCTGTGATTTCCACAGAGAGCTGTGTCGTTTGTTTCTGTGAGCAGTGTTTTGCTGCCTCTCCCTTCTTGGGGGGTGTGAATCGGGTGTGAATCCGGTATCTCATTAGCAGTAGATTGCTTTGTCCCAAAGCAGGCAGACTGTTTTGACTTAGATTGTTGTGTGTGAAGAGAATTTGGTTTCACCTGCCAATCTTCTGCAATATTGAAAACAGCTTGCAGGTAAATTCCCCTCTGCCCAGCATCTTTGGTTTGAGGACTTACAGGAAGCTGAAGAACCCAGGTTGGAAAGCCTGCAGGGAGGAGTCTTACTTTGAATTAGTTGCCAGCACGATGCCTGTGACTTACCAAGAGGCTTTCCCAGGTTTCATAGGAACTCAACAAAAGGAAGAAAATCAAAGACATGTTCATTATAATTGAATTGCCTGCTGTAATGGATACTAATACAGTGTTAAATGTTCTTTCATTGATCCCAGGAAAGCACAGACAACATACTTTCCATTGTCAAGCAAAGAACAGGATCTTTTGGGGATCGCCCTGCAAGGCCTACTCTTTTAGAACAAGTGTTAAATCAGAAAAGACTGGTAAGTGTTTTCTCATAAAGTAATTTAGGCCTGTTAGAAAAAACTGCTGGTTCTCCGTGGAACTGTTTTCCCTTTGTAAGACTTTAAAAGTTGCTCAGTGCCATCAGAACCACACAGTGCCTCATCACTGGACTGGAGGTGCCCCCCCCACCCCAGGACTGCACCGGAAGGAACACCCTGAGCCCTGTTTCTTCACTGATTGACCTTTGTGCAAGATGAGATTTTAAAACAGACTCTAAATATGTGAGATAGTACTGTAACGTACTGAGATACAATTACAAATATTTAATAAGGGTCTCTGATATAAAGCAGACTCTAAGTTTGTGAAACGGTACTGTAATGTATTGAGATATAATTACTAATATTGAGTAAGGGTCTCTGATATAAAACTGATAGAAGTGATCAGAGGTCAGTCAGAAAAGGAGTGATTGTTTGATAAATACTGGAATATTTGAACAGTAATTTGAAGGAAAGAAAGAATGTAAACCATACTTACTATATAAGTTTTTGTTAGAATATTAGAAATTTTTTTCAAAAATGAATTTGGATTTTATCTCAGAATTCCACATTGAGGTTTTATAATATCAAAGACTCGTGAAGAAAAGATTTAAACTTGACAACATAAAAATGTAGACAAAGACAATGCTGAAAATTAAACTGCAAAGTGATATGGGAAAATAGTAAAAGATCATCATTGTATTTGATACTTTGTTATAACATTCCCCCACTTGAAAGACTCAGGCCGGGGTGTTGCCTGGATTTTAAAGCTCAAACAAGCAAACAAAAATATGATAATTCCATAATAATCCATTTTCCCTCTCTTCTCTTTAAGTCATTACTGAGAAGTCCAGAAGTTGTCCAGTTTCTGCAGAAGCAGCAGCAGCTATTAAATCAGCAAGTTTTGGAGCAAAGACAGCAGCAGTTTCCAGGAGCACCAGTGTGAGGGGCTCACGAACTACCCTGGATGAATGGGCTTTTTATACTGATGGTGACGTCCTGATAATCAGGCACTGGTGGTGCCCACCTGGAATCCCTGCGCTTGGGAGGCTGAGCTGAGAGGATCCCAAGTTCAAGCCTGCCTGGGCTACTACGTAGCAAACTCCTTCCTCAAAACAGAGGCAGAGAGAGGCTGTAAAAGACACTTTCCTATAAATGTGCCTGTGCATTTGGGGATAAACAAGTATTGCATTTTTGCATTGAATCCTTTCAGATCACTATGAGTTTGAAAAAAGTCACCTTTACAGTTTTAATATTTTTCTTCAGTTGTCTCACTGAAGCTAATGAGGCAGTTGCTTTCTGTGGAAGTCATAGCATAGTAATCTCAATTCATCTAGCACCATGATCTCATCATGAGGCATGGGAAAGACCGTGTTCTGGGTTGTAGTGACAACAAACAAAGCTGGGCTGGAGTGAGGGGCCAGGCATACTGAATGTTCTTCGGGGTCTGATACTCTCACAGCTAAATGTTACCTTGCCACTAGTGCACCTCAGCTGCAGTGATAACCTGAGGTCAGAGCGCCAGGTCAGGCTCTTCTGAGAACCTTTCTTTACAGCCAAGGCTGCCGCTGTGAGAGCCAGGCATGGTCATACCTGTGAGGAATATCACTGATCTCTTCATGTAAGCTAGAGAGGAGGCATTGAAGTGGGCACCTGATTGTTTGTGTCCCTCTTCTTTAAAGCTCATTGTCTCTGTTGAATCTGTGGACAGTTCAGACATACTCCGCCACCACAGCCAGGGCAGAATTGGTTTTCTTGGATGTGTTCTTAATGTTCTTCATAAAGGAGAGCCTGAAAATGGTTTGTCAGTCATTTTCAAAACTGCACTACTTTAGCACTCATTCCTAAGTACTGTTAAAGGAGTCATGGATTATCTGGGTGTGTATATATAATATGTATTTATATTTGTACTTTCTCCTAGGAAAACTTTAGAAAGGCAAAAATACCATAAGATAGAGAATAAAATGTCAATAATATATCCAGAAGTAGGTTAATAAATGTGTCTCAAGATGGACTCTGCAGAAATGTGCTAGTTGGTTAATTCCTAAGCTCTGAAATGTATATGATGTTAAATTTACAGCTATTACAATAAGTACTCAAGAGCTGGGGATACAGCGTAGCCTTAGAGCACCTGCCCAGCATGCTCAAGGCCCTTGGTTCAATCCCCTGCACCACCACATTAAAAAAAAGGGGGGGGGGAGGATGTTTTTCTTCAGTTTGTGTTGTATATTTGTGTAGCTGAAAAAGATCCTTTTGCCAAAAGTATTAAAGTCCAGTTGTTGACCTTTGATTTTTTTTTGTTGTTGTTGTTGTACTTATTTCTTTAGGTGCTTCACACCAGCTATAAAGGAGTTCATTTACTATTTGGTACTGTACTTACAGTATTGGGAGCCTTATTGTTTCTCTAGACGTGCCGGTCTGTCCACTTGCAGCCCATAGGCACGCCTGTCCCAGGATAGCTGTGCATATGCCCAACACATTTGTAGTGACAGTGTCATGTTGCAGTCTCAAAAGGTTGGACATCCCTGACAGAACTTGTTAACTTTTGTAGCAAAATAACCCAGCTTATACTTCTTCAGTTATAGAGTAAGAGAGAAAGTGTGACATCAATAGAGATAAATGAATGGATTAGATTCACATTTTAAGAACTTGGAGATGGCTTAAATACTTGTCAAGCCCTAGAGTAGATCACCCAGGGGTTTGGAGTCTTTCTCTGGAGTATTAAGAATAAAGTAGATACCCATTCATGAATTTAGATAGGAATTAGGATAGATTCCAATATAACTTAACTATTACCTGTTACACTGTAAGTTTTTGTCCCTTAAAATCCTTCAGTAAGGTTTTTGCTTTAGAGTAGATGTATTACAGCTGACCACACTCCCCCATTCTACATACTCAGTTTTGGCATGTATTAGGTTTTTATTTACCTATTCCTCAATACAGGATTAACTGACATGAGACTTGTTTTGATCAGCATAGAGCTGAACCTCTGAGGGTTTCGAACATTTGCACTTACATTTTTAGACTCCCACCTCTGTAAAAAGAAGCTTTTTCCTTGAGAGGAGCCTTCCCGCCAGCCTGGTTCTAGAGCCGCATCAGTCCCAAATAAACACACAGGAGGCTATATTAATTATGAAGCTGTTGGCCTTGCTTGTCTCTTACTGGCTAGCTCTGCTTTAAGTAATTACCCCATAATGTTAATCTAAGTATGTCTTTTACTGGAGAATAGTTCCGGGCTCCTACCCCATGGCGGTTACATGTTGACTCTCCTCGTGTTTCTCCTACCCAGAGTCCTTTTGGACTCCTAGTCCCTCCTATCTAGATTCCCTATTGGCCAGACAGTGCTTTATTGACAAATGCACAGGACTTCCCCAACACCCACCCAGTTACCATGGTAACAAGACCTACCCTACACAAGGAATCTGAGATAAAGGTCTATGGTCTGATCTCCGTTGTACCACCTGATAGCCTGACACGTGTCAGTAAGGCTATGTGACATAAGCTATCATCCCTGAGAGAGAAGTCTGATGCCAGCCTAGGCCAGCTAAGCCTTGCTTAGATGCACAAAACCACCCTGTAGACCTGTAAATGGTAAACAGTTAATGAAGGCCATGGGGTTTGATATTTACTGAGTGAATGGTGCACTTAGTTGTTTTTCCCTGGATGACAAATTTTAAAATTGGTGAACTCCATCAGCTAAAACAGTGAAGACTACATAGATCTTACCCTGCAAGAAGCAGATGAGATGGATGGGCACAGGATTCTGCAGGCTTCCTGTGAAAGGAAATGTACCCAGCCCCCATGATTTAGAAAAAACTATTTTTCTCCAGCGCCTCCAGAATCAGCCTTGCCAGCACCTCAACACTGGCACAGAGACTGGCTTCAGACATGTGGCTTTCAGAACTATTGTCTTGTGGCATTTAAACAGCAGCAAGGCAGGAGGGCTCAACTATCAGGCTCCATGTATGGCCTGCCTAGACATGGCTTGTTTTGTTTTTTGTGAGACTGCTAGCTTGTATACCAAGCCACTAAACCACAAGCAAAAATACTCAGTTTAAAAGGCATCCCCCAATATTCTAAGACAGACAATTCTGACTCTAAGTTGTGTACCCTCTGCCCCTTCCCAAGGCTTTCTGAACCCCAACCAGCTCGCAGCTGTAAAGTTTAGAATCAGTAGGACAACTGGGGCCCGGAAAACAAAAGCGATTTGCAAACACTTCAGTCATCTGCAGGTGCATAAGTTTCTCTTAGAAAACATTTTAATCCATTAGACATACTTCATGGCATATGAAAAATAAATGACTTTTAGTGAAAGTTTTCCTTACATATTACATGCTAATCCTCGTAATACATACGTGTTCCTTGACTAACATGCATAGTGCTGAGTTGCTAAGATAGGATACTCAACTGGTGTGTATTTAATTTACTTCTTCCATTATTTCACCATACAAAGGGTTTATTTAGTCGTAGCCTGGTGCTAAGCTGGGGAGAAGCTGTCAACCACCTCTAAAATTTCTGCAAAGTATTCTTAAAATTACACATATAATGCCAATTATTCCAAGATGTTAAAAATAAAGTGTGACCAATGTTTTTACAGCATGAACAATTCTTAAAAATCTTTTCAAGTAGGACAGCTTATGATTAAGCATCTTAAGGAACCACAGATAATACACACAGAATTATTACCTAAGTTTGACAAAAAATGAGCCCAAAGGTGTGAGGTCTATCTACAGCATTGTCTACCATAAACCACCAGATGATGATGTACGGCATTTCCAGGACAGAAAGCCAGGCTGCCAGACCAAAGGCTGCTCTTGGAGGTCTGTTTTATATTCATTTGAACTCATCTTTAACATATTCGAGGGCTACCTACCCGTGTACAGTTCAGCTGTTGAGTTCTAGCAGGTAAGATATGGAATGCATGGTATAACTTGCTTTATTAAATATATACATGATATATCTGGCACTCATTCAGCGTTAAGCAAGAGCTTGACGTCCAGCAGGCAATGTTTATAAGATGCTTTGCTGTTCTTTCTGTTGCCATGATGGGGATAACTTGATCATTGGAAGACAATGGCAGAGCATTCTAAACACCCAAGTGTGTGTGTGTGCTAAAAGGTGGCATCTTTTTAGCTCTGAAGCAGCTGTTAGCATTATCATCCTGCTGAAACAAACTAATCAAGTCTTATTTTGGTTAAGACTCACACAAATACTGACTCCAACATGGCGATAAACACCCCGCGTCTCGTGGGCAGGCCGAACTGGTGCAGTTCTCCATTGTACGACCCTGCCCAGGGCAACAATGTGTAAAGACCTGGCCTGCCAACTTTCCTCTTCATCCTGTAAAACAACACTACACAGCATATTTCTGCTTGTCTGTATCATGGAATGCAGGCCAAATGGTCAAAGGAGTCTGAAGTCAAGTATTACATTATGAACTTTTTAGATCTCTTAGCAGTTGGGGGTGGGGGCTGATTAAAATGTGACCATGTTACGAGAGCAGAAGGCTAACATCCGTTTAATGCTAAATTCTCTGATGATATATGCACCTATGCCATGATTCCTTTCTCAAAGAAATCAGGCACACTTCAATATTTTGTCTGCCTTCTTAATACCGCAAGGAAATCCAAGTAGTTGGTTTTGTTTTTAAGCTTCTACTTTTGTTTTGAGGCAGGGTCTCACTGTATAGCCTTGGCTGTCCCGGAACTCATCATATGTAGCCTTGAATTCACAGAAACCCGCCCACCTCTACCTCTGAACAGATCGATTGGCTACATATTGCCGGAGGAGTTTGAGCACTTGGGGGAGAGATCCAAAGGACTGTGAGAAATCTGAGACAAGGGCTTTGTGTCCTTGAATGGGTGGGTACTTGGAGAAGGTCTGCCTTACAAATGATTTTTCCGAGGACGAAGCTGGGGAAATTACCAGAAATATAGGGATGCAAGGAGTTGGCATGGTGAGAAATAAAAGTAGCACTTATGAAAAGATAAATTACCTAACTGTTCTTAAAAGACATAAAATTTCAATACGGCAGTAATTAAGAACTTGATTGCATTCTTTTATAGTCCAAGAAGATTTGCATGTGTGGGTTTTATGAGTTCTGAGTCTGTGCAAATGCTTACTGTCACATTTGCAGCTCCCTGGAGGTGGGGGCTGCCTCCAGCGTAGGTTCGATTCCGCAGCACCTGACATTGTACGTGGTACACGCAAATGCGCAAGGCAGACCTAATGAATCAATGAGCTTGGGTTTTTCTACACTCTAAGTGGGCTCCCAGGCTTTAGTGCGAGACATAAAAGAGTGTCTTTTGATATGTATACATCATATACATTTATGATATATATGTGATAGGTTTTATAGATACACTAGGCATGGTGTGACTTGTCACATCATATCTATCTTAAATACAATCGAATGGGAAACAATAAATGCATGTGTGTTGATGCTAGGTAGAACAGATTAAACGAAGGAAACTTAAGATTACAGAAACTCTACCCATTACAAGCATAAATGCCATCTTAAACAGTGTGCTTCCCAAAGGGCATGAAGTAAACTTACAAGCAATGCGGTGATCACCGAGAGGCACACACCGTGATATCTGGAGGCAATTTCCCTTTATCATCCAAAGGAGGAAGTAGCAGACTTTAATAATACATGCACACTGACATATGCATGTATATACATAAGACATTCCTAAAGATGCCTTATTGTTCCCTACCACTGTTTCCTCAAAAATGTAGGACACATGAGACATTCCCATCTCACTTGGGAAATTATACCCAGGCATTTCATAGCTTTAGAAGAGACAGCCAGGATGTAACCAACTAATAACTTAATCTAACATAGGTGTCGGGCTAAGCAATATGTAAATATGATTCAAAGACACCTCTAGATCGCCCCCAGGGCTTTGCTGTTGTCTTAATCTTTGTAACTAATTGGTATCTGCCACCAGGAGGAAAGACTTGGCAAAGGGTGCCCTACCTTGGGGGCTTCAGTATGAGCATGCTGGACAGTGCATGTTGTCACACGATACTCCTCCCAACCCTTCAGTCTGCGGCGGCTTCAACTGTGCACAGAGTGCACCCAGGCAGACACAGCCATCTGCAGGTCCCCCGACAGGGGGCGCTGGAAGACTGGAGCCCGACTCCCAGAGTGGAAGTCCCCTGTGCTCCTGGGACCGAGCTCTGGACTAACGCTGTCACTATGGCTCGTCTCGGACACTTCCCCCTTATTAGCCTCGACTTTTTAAGCAGTGGCCACATGACTGGAGGCTTCACAGTTTCTCCCTTTCCAGTCACAGTTTCAGTCTGTCTGAACGTACCACCGACGTCGCTGCAGTACCTGGTTTTGCATACTTCAACTTCAGAGATAAATTTTCTGGGGCTCATCTTACAGACCACTGTGGGTTTGACTTCCTTTCTTGCCATTCACATTGCACGTGAGATGTTTTCTTTTAAACCATGTGGGTTTGACTGGGTTTTGCTCTAGTGCTCCCAAGCCCCGTCCTTTTTGTTAGTTTGTTTTTGTTTTGGATTTTTTTCTTTGCTTTTTCATTTCCTTAACAAAAGCAGCTTTGTGTTTACTCAGGGGAAACAGCATCCTGCACAGTGAGGAGCCGACTGAAGGGGCCTCGGAGTCTGCCAACGCCCTTTACACACTGGTTCCCCTCTCCCGGGAGACATGGGTCCTCATCCCAGCACGGGCCTGGAAAACGCCGTTCTCGAACCACACCGGGCTAGCCCAGGTTAACCAGGCAGCACAATGCAAATGGTGACAAAGCTGTGAATAATATGCATTATATGTATTTACACCTGCATCCAGAAACTTCCATTAGCAGCAGGTTGAAATGACAGAAGCCACTGCCTGCATCTGTTCTGTGGCCGCGTAGCTGACGCCCTGACTGTTAAGACACTGAAGAAATGGGGTTATGCGGGGAGCCCATCTGAGTTAGAACCTTGTCCAGCCACTGCAGTGGTCCATGGAGATGAATCTCAATCCAGCAGGGGGTGCTGGTGACATCCTGACGATGATACTCAGCTCCCCAACCCTGCAAAGCAAGGAAAGAGCCCGTGATGAGGGATGTCCTTCTGTATGCTGTGACCATGTTTCTCTTAGCAGTTTAATAAAACCCTGATTGGCCAATAGCCAGGCAGGAAGTATAGGCGGGGCTACCAGACTCGGAGAATGCTGGGAAGAGGGAGACAGAGAAGGAGCTGCTGGGAAGACAGGATGCCAGGAATTCTCCAGTAAACCAAAACCACATAGACTTATAGAAATGGGTTCATAATTAAGAGCCAGCTAGCCAATAAGAAGCCTTTGCCATTGACTAAACAGTTTATAATTAACATAAGCCTCTGTGTGTTTATTTGGGACTAAATGGTTACAGGACCAGGTGGGACAGAAACTCCCATCTATACCAGGCATTTAATCCCAGCACTTGGGAGGCAGAGGCAGGTGGATCTCTGTGAGTTCGAGGCCAACCTGGTCTATAGACTGAGTACCAGGATAAGCTCCAAAGCTACACTGAGAAACCCTGTCTCGGCAAAAAAAAAAAAAAAAAAAAAAAAAAAAGGAAAAAAGAAACTTCCATCTACAAGCCCAGACTGAATGATACCCCTTTGCCAGAGGTCACCAGGCAGAGCACAGGGAAGGCTTCCTGTGAGAAGTGGAGCCTCCGTGGAGCAGATTCATCAGAGAGTCCAGGTCAGTCACGGTGTTCCCTGTTAGCTTACTTACAGTCAGACACCCATTTAGCGGTGATCTGGGAATCTACACATCCCGTGGGAGATGCTGTCATCTCCCCTTCACAAGGAAAGGGGCTCACCAGCATGGTCCACTCTTCACGTGGAAGCCAGTGTCAACACAAAACTGCTACTCATTGAAGATCTGACACTGGATCTAATAAAAATTAGCAACTCTTGATTTGGAGGATGGAATCTCAGAGCTTAGAGTTTGTTTCTCTTCTGTCTCAGGCTCACTCAGAAATTTCCTATTTATCTCTATTAGAAGGACAGACAGTTACTAAAATGACAGACAGATAGATAGACAGGCAGGCAGGCAGACAGACAGACAGACAGACAGGCAGGCAGGCAGGCAGGCAGACAGAAGATGGATACATAGATGGTAGGTGTTCATATGTATCCGTTGTTCACCAATGGAGACTTATTTAAGCATTAAGGAGGGATTTCAGATTATGTTTGTTAGTGACTGGAGAGAGGTCTCCGTGGTTAAGAGCAGTGGATGCTTTTGCAGAGAACCAGGGTTTGGCTCCCAGCACCCACAACCACCTTTAACTCCGGCCTCTTCTGGCCTCAGCGGGCATAGTACAGATATGCACACAGGCAGGAGCCATACACATAAAAAACACGTGTGTTTCTTACCAGTATTCAGCTTAACCACACAGCCTGGTCACTCACGGTCACCTCTGTGGGCTTGTGGGCCCACCTGGCAGTTGACTATTCCCCGTATCTCCATCCTTTCTGACTCTCCCATGTCTGCTTCTCCCCGAAACCCTCTGGTTTTCAGCAAGACCTCATCACCAGCAAAGTTTACACTTGAGAGACACACAACTGAACCACAGAAGCTCTCGATGAAATCTTAGAATATTTTAAGTATATCGTATTCATAGCTGCCCTCAGCTTCACACAGCCAAAGAGGCTGTGGGTTAGACACTCCTGCATCTAACCCTCTACCACCACGATTTTTGTGGGGAAAGGAAAATGAGACTATCAGAGACATAAAATTTCAGCCACTAACACAGAAATAAATTATCTATCTTTCTAAATGTGTAGCTCTGTCCACTGGTGCATCCAGGGATCTTTATACTGCCTGGCCCTCCTCCAGCTTGTTTGCTGACTATTTCTCTCCTCCCTCATTTTATAGTTGAGTCTGGGGCTCCCAGTCCTCTGTGTTTAAATTCAAACCTGTGGTCCCATCCAAATACATGGAGTTAGATACCATGCAAATAAGGACGTCCCCAACTTACATCTCCAGCCCTGACCGCTCCCTCCAGACTCCTGGGTTTGTCTGTCACCTCGGCATCTTCTTGTGACTGTGGCTGACTGACGTCAGCAGTTGCTGTGACCCACACTGAACACTCAGCCTTATCTGCACACCTCACGCACCTGTATCTTCGCCATCCTGGTGGAAAGCAACTCTTATCACCTGTAGCTCTCTTCGCTCACCTCCACGTCAAACCCCCGTCCTGGTGGGGAGCCCCGCACTTCCCACAACTCTGCTGGTGCTCTCCTGGCAGAGGTGACCCTCAACTCCCACCTGGATTCTGCAATAGCTTCTTTAAAATATGGATGCTTTGCATGCTTGTATATCTAAGCACTATATGTGTGCAGTGCCTGTGGATGCCAGAAGAGGGCGTCAGATCCCCTGGAACTGGAGTTGCAAATGGTTGTGAGCTGCCGTGTGGGTGCTGGGAACTGAACCCGGGTCCTCTGCAAGAGCAGCCAGTGCTGTTAACCCCTGCTCGTCCTCTCTATCGCCGCCATGGTTTCTCAGTGGCCTCTCCCTTCCCACCTCACTGCAGAACATCTTGTCTCCACTTAGTCAGAATGGTCCTTTAAAGACAGCACACCTGCAAGCCCAGCAGGAGAGGGGGTGAGGCCGGAAGATGTAGCGTTCAAGGCCAACTTGGGTTACACAGAATGACCCTGTCTCCAAACAAACAAAATAACAGGTCAACCATGGCACCCCCTCCCCCACCCCGCCCCTGTCCAGTGTCTCAAGGCATCATGAAGTGCTGAACCCTGCTCAACTCTCAGGAAATGCTCCCTTCTCATTTCGCCCACTCAACTCCCCCCTGCACAAGGCTGCAGTTACCCTGCTTCCCTTTCATAACCAGGCGCATAGCAGCCATGGGCTTCTGAGCGCAGCTTTCCTCACAGAGGACCCGGGACCTCCGGCCTCTGCTGGCACACACTGCTTCTGTGACGCCTCCGCACCTGTAACCTCTCTATTTTCCTTATTTGATTCACTCCACACTCGTTGCTTGCTGCCTGACTTCCTCTCCCAACACACTGGTGGCTCAAGGCAGTGCCTGTGGATAACCGACGACGGTGCACCATCCCGATGCCCAGGGCAGCGCCCGTGAATAACCGACCGTGCACCATCCCGATGCCCAGGGCAGCGCCTGGCCCGCCACTGGCAGCTGCTCAATAAATAGTTGTTGACTGGCTGATTGTAGGAGAGCTATGGCCGGTAAAATCAGAGCTGAAAAGAACTTCAAAGGTGACCTGCTTTTTTCACCTGCAATAATCGCTACCTGTGTCTAGTCGTCTGTAAAGTTTTAAACTCGTCATTGACAGCTTTTATATCGTTTAAGTCCTTGCCGGGCTAGCAACGAGTCTCAGTGCTAAACGAATTGCCTAGCCTGTGTGAGGACCTGAATTTCTTTCTCCTCATCGCTGGGAGGAGGGGGTAGGAAGGGGGTGGGGGCCAGCTCATATCAGCAGTAGCCGTGTGTTTTCTGTGAATCCAAATTTGTAGCTCTATAAACTTGCTGCATAGCTCAGGAACATTTAGTGGCTGTTGGGAAATGATCACATTTCCATGCATGCTTGTATTACAGTAATTACCTATGGGATACCCACAGCTCATCCTCATTAAAAAACATGCACTCAGGAAAACTAACTGTCCCACTCAAGGGATAGTCCACTAACAGCGAGTTGGTGCCCCCTGCTGGCTCCAAAGTGACAGTGTGTTGGAAATTTTCCAGGGGTTTCTTTACTGCTTTAAATGTCAAAGATGAATAAAGCTCTTCAAAATAAGAGGTCCCTTTAAGACTTTTTTGTTTGTTTGTTTTTTGCAGTGGGGAGGGGTGTTCTTTGTGTAACAGCCCAGGCTGTCCTGGAACTTGCTCATGTAGACCAGGCTGGCCTGGTCCCCAGCACTGCTTTTAAAAAGGCAAGTGGGGCTTGGAGAGATGGCTCAGTGGCTAGGAGCACTGACTGCTCTTGCTAAGGACCTGGGTTCAATTCTCAGCACCCACATGCCAGCTCACAACCTCATGTAACTACAGTTCTGGGGGTATGCTGCCCTCTTCTGGTCTTTTTGGCACTGCATGCATGGGGCACACAGACACCCTTGCAAGCAAAACACCCATACAGATAAAACAAAGATAAATTAAGGGCTGGAGAGATGTCTCAGAGGTTAAGAGCACTGGCTGCTCCACCAGAGGTTGTGAGTTCGATTCCCAGCAACCACATGGTGGCTCACAACCATCTGTGATGAGATCTGGTGCCCTCTTCTGGTGTACAAGCATACATGCAGGCAGAACACTGTATACACAATAATTTTTTTAAATTAATTAATTAAAAAGAAAATGAGAGAGCTCTGGACGAAGCCACACTCTTTCCCTAGGTGGGGTATGTGACACTGTGAAAACTATGATATACACCACAGAGTTTGACGGACAAGTCCAAGTCCAGATTTTTAAACAAGAGTAATATCCCCGAATTACTCAGAACTACTTCAGTGTTTCTAGCCCACTTGATAATGAGAGACAGAGAGAGAGAGAGACAGAGACAGAGAGACAGAGACATAGAGAGAGACAGAGAGAGATTAATGAGGGAGATACACACACACACACACACACACACACACACACACACACACACACACAGAGTGAGTCAGTATTTGGATGGAGCAGGAGGTTCAGGAATCCCCCAGTCTTAACTGAAGACAGTTGATAGCTTTTAGGGAGAGCCAGTTTTCTTTAAGGCTGTGGCCCTTGGTAGGTTGACCTCAACCACACTATTTCCCTTGGGTGGCCCCACTCATGAATATATGGGCAGCAGAAGTTGGACTAGATAAAAAAAAAAAAGAGTCCCAGAATCAAACGTTTTTAGAAAACAAAAACAAAAACAAAGTCGTCATCGGCCTGCGTTGGCTGAGCAAATGCCACGTCAAGCCAGGGGCATTTTCCATTTTACAGTCCCGAAGCCAGCATCCTCACCTTCACGAAGCTCATCCGAATCGTGCACATCTTAGTCAGCTCGTACACGACTTCAAAGCCGTGGTGCACGGACTGGGCGAGCAGCTGGGCGAAGAGCTGGTTGTTGAAGACCTTGAGACTGCAGCCGCTGGGGATCTTGCAGACCGTGGCGGGGTGAAACCCATGCTGATAGTTGCAGTTCCGGCTCTGCACAAAGATGCTGCTGTCACTCACGCACTCCGCGTACACCTCGCCCCCAACGTAGTACAAATGCACACCTGTGGGCACAAAAACCACACTCTTTCTACTCGGCTCCCTTCTCCGTGACACACCGCGAGCGGCAGGAGCCGCCGCAGTCGGGTTAGCTCTTCCAGTACCACTGGTCATAGAAAGAGAAGGTGTGTGCCCCGAATGCCATTTGCTTCCTTTGACTCTCCCTACAAAGCCATTAAAAAGTTCAACTCTGAGGGCTCTCAGCACCCAAGCTGCAGCTCCCAACCATCTGCAGTGAGCTGGTTCCAGAGGACCTGACGCCCTCTTCTGGCCGCTATGGGCACTGCACACGCATGGTATGTATGTATACATACACACAGGCAAAACACCCACACAGGAATAAAACCTTAAATTTATTTTTGTTTGATGTGCATTGGTGTTTTGCAGGCCTGCATGTCTATGCAGTGGCGTCACAAGGCCTGGAACTGGAGTTACAGACAAGTGAGAGCTGCCGCGTGGCTGCTGGGAATTGAACCCTGGAAGAGTAGACAGTGCTCTTACCCACTGAGACATCTCTCCAGTCCCAAGGGAAAAAAAAAAAAACTTGGAGCCCAACCCACATGAATGGACACTCTCAAAGATGAGTCCATAGTCTCTCACTTATTACGGCTCCCACCACTTTTGGGAAACAGAGGCAGGTGAAGTGGAAACCAGCCTGGCCTACATAGTGTTCAGGCCAGCCAGGGCTGCACGGTGAGACCCTGACTCAAAGCTAAAATATTTCTGAGTGGAGGATTCAGAGACGTATTTCATTTCAGAGGCATGTCACTCAACCCTACAGGTCACACCACGTGATCCTGGGGGCAGGGGCCTCCCTACCATACTCCACACACACACAGTCATGTGAAAACACAAGCAACATGTAGCTTGCCTCGGTTTCTCTAACATTCCTGGAATTCCATTTCAAAAGGACATCCTAAATAGAGTACAACACACACACACACACACACACACACACGTGCGCGGGCACACACACACATGCACGCACGCACACCAGTGCAATGGAATTTTGTTCAGCTGAAAACATGGGATTATAAAATGGATGGAACTGGAGATGATCAGAAATAGGAACAACTCGAACGAAATCCACTCCCCCACCCCGTCCCTCTCCTCTGGTCTTCTCTCTTACTTCCCTCGGCTTTCCTCTCCATTTTCCTCCGTGAAGGGCTTCATCAGGCCTGACCCCCACAACTCAGGCACTGGTGACCATGAGGAAGTGGAAGGAAGGCTCTGATTGGCTGAAACACAGTGCCTGCGCTGGACGGCCACCAAGCAAAGCCAGAGCTGCCGCCACCCTTCACCATGGCTGCCACCCTTCACCACGCCTGTGCGGGGGGGGAGGGGGAGGGGGGAGGTGACTGACAGCGACCGGGCATTCTTCAGTTGTACGGCTGAGCGCAAAGCAGTCTGCTCAGCACTGCTCGGAGATTCAGACCATCTTGGTTCTGCAGAAGAGAAGGCCATGGAGGCCAGGGGAAAGCCAAGTGCGGGCGATCGAGGCCAGGGAAAAGTGGGGTGCGAGCCGGGGGCGGGGGCGCTCGGCCAGTGGGGTTGGATTTACTCCAGGGGCAGGGGCGAGGCACGGGGCTGGGGGAGGATTTACTGCAGGGGCAGTGGCGAGGCAGCAGGGCTCTCTGAGCTTGGGTGTCATCCTGGGCTCTGCCTTTTGTGGCGGCCCCTCCCTTTGCACTCTCTGATGTGGGCCACACTACCCATGTCTGCCTTGCGACAGTTCCTCTGCAGTGCGCGCTATCTGCCACCGCAGAAGAGGACTCCAGAGACCCGCTTGCACCTTGACCCCCCCAGACCTGAGAGCTGGCGGTAACAGCCTGCGCGGAGCTGCTACAGGCTTGTGGGTGTTTTAACTGATTGACCTTCAAGGGTATTTATAATCCTTCCGGGACCGACTGCATACAACAGATAAGATTTTTGTCACCTGAGCCTGGCCTGTCTGTATTAGGGGGTGGTTTTCCCTCCTGATCTGCAAAGCTGGCACAAGCTGGCATTGGGGAGAACGGGAAGGTGGGTCCTCTGGAGGAAGGAGCAGAGCCCAAGGCGGACTGTGTGAGCCTGCTCTGACCGTCCCGTGAGGACAGAATCCAGTTGCAGGCTGGCCTCTGGCTAGAGACACCAGCGCCTTGAGAAGGAGCCTGCGGTCATGTGGTTTCATTTGGCCCGACCATCACGTAGGCCAATGCAGTGTGGCTTTGAACCCGGTGTCAGTGTCAAGATCACGACCTCAGAGCAGACTTGTTCTCAGGGTTGGGTCTGCATAGGGGTCACCTGGTGGGGTGGCGGGGCATTCACACATACTGGGCCACAGTCTAACGGGAGGAGCAGTTTGCATTTCCGTACAGATGAACCCCTAACCCTGCTGCTTCCACTGGGGGTGCCAGCGCTGGGGTTACAGGCACGCAGCCCAAGTCGCCCCTGAAGATGGTCTACTGACTTCAGAGGCAAAGAGATCCTAAGGGAGCACGTCCCCCTCCGGTGGTGACAGCCAGCACGGCCTCGGGGCCTCCCCAGGGTCTACACCAGCATTCCGGCTCAGAGGCGGTGATGGAGCCAGGCTGGGCGGGCGGGCGGGCGCTCACCCTTCCCGATGTGCCTCCTGGTGTTCTCGATGGTTGAGTTCCTATTGACGTTTGAGAGAAGCCCGAGGCAGAACCTGTTCCTGTTGTTGGAGGGGTCGGTGAAGCCGTCTATGAGGACGCTCCGCGAGGACGCCTGGAAAGTCTCTCCGACCCGGTTGTTGAGTTCATAGTAGGCAACGGAGCACCAGTACTGGGGTTCCTCATAGCAAACCGGCCGGAAGTCTGCAGGAAAACGAGAGAGGGAAGGCTCATGATCTCAACAGGAAGCGGAAATGAACACCTTAAACCAGAGAACCGGCTTTTGCTCGGGGTCCGCCTTCTTTTAACCGTCCTTCAAACGCTCGTGCATGATGGAAGCTGTTGGGGGCTAGCGCGTTCGTTTATTGCACCCATGAGTCTAAGGCCAGGGTCTTTGTTAATTTTCCACGGCTAGGGATTGTAAACACTGCTGTTTGCAGGTGCGATATAATGAAGGACCAGGGAAGAGGCAGCATGCACCGACTGATGTAAAATGTTGCCGGTCCCAGAGGAAACACAGCTAGGAGCTAGGAGGCAGGCCACCTCCTCTCTACCAGAGGAGGCCAGGGTCCTGTTGTTACAGAACTGAACTGAACCCCTATGGCAAAAGGTGTCATTTCACAACAACAGAATGGTTTAAAATAAAAAAAAAAAAACAGTAGTTTGAATAGGATAGCAAAACAAATTGAAAGCACTGAATGGCTTCTACTGGAGAAAGAAAAATCTGTATAGACAGGCTGACTTTCTCCTCTATGTAGCACACAGATATCTATTTACACACGATGCAAGTGTAGTTTAAGGAAAGCTGGATTCTCAGCTTTGCTGGGGTCTGCCCACGGGTGGAAGGAGGTCAAAGGGTAACCGGGCAGAATGCAATAAGTACAGGCGAATTTTTACAACACAGGAGTGTGTTAGGCAGATATGTATCTTATAATTATCCGGTCCTTAAACCACCCCCGGCCCTAATACCAAGTTTCAAAGACATGCAGGGAAACTCTCTATGCAATAAGTAAAGAATGGGTCTCTCGGTCTCTCTGTTGGAGACAGAGGAGAACAATGACGTAATACCAGGTGATACACGTAAACATGCTGTATGAGGATCTTGTTAAGGGAAAACATCAAGGACTCTTGGAAGGAATTTGTCTCATATCGCACCACATCTTATATGTTCATTGAGAGTAAGGATAACTTTTGTTTAGTGAGAGTTAATAAATACTCATTAAATGGGGCTCATGAATAAAAGAGGGAGGCAGATTGTAACTGTGGGTGCCAGCTGTATGCACACAGGCCTTTGCCACCCCGGATACAAGTGATCTCGCACTTCGTGTCTCTTCTCTGGCCGGCCTCACAGGTGACATAGCACACACGGTAGTGTCCCTCCCTCTTGCACAAGCCTTGTCAATCTGGCCCCAGCTCCTGAGCCAACTCCTTCAGCTGCTGCCTTGGCTTCAGAGGAGAGAGAATGCACCGGCCGGTATTGGGGGGGGTCTAGCTCTGCACTCCACTGAGGTCATGCACGTTGCATTCGGGGCAAAAGATGCCTGCCTTTTCATTGTTCAAAGAAGCAAGCAAACAAAAGCCTCACTCGGTCCCCTGTGGCCTGCTCTCATTTAGTTAGTTAGTTAGTTGTTAGTTAGTTAGTTAGTTGTTAGTTAGTTAGTTGTTAGTTAGTTAGTTAGTTGTTAGTTAGTTAGTTGTTAGTTATGGTGTATGCATGATATGTGTGTGGAGGCCAAAGGACAACTCTGTGGAGTCCGTTCCCTCCTTCCGGGATGTGACTCAGGTTGGCAGGCCTACGTAGCAATGCCTTTACCTGCTGAACTATCTATCCAGTCCTTTCTTTCAGCACTTACATTTTTAACTTTTTATGTGTCATACATCAACGTGTGAATCTTACTTCCACATTCAGCAAAGTGGCAATATGCCTGTAAGTCCAGCTTTGGGAAAGCTGGAGCAAGAGAATGGTGGGTTCGGGACCAGCCTAATCTAAAAGCACAGCATGCTTCAAAACAAACGATAATCAAATATTCTGTTAGTTTCCAGGGATGGTATGGTGTTAAATCCTATTTAGTTTCTGGAAGAGGACTGGATCCAGTATGTATATATGCATGTATGTATGTATGTATGTATCTGCAGTTCTGCTCCAAAACGGGTCCAATCCTGATCATTCTGGAGGGTGGTGGGTTTGATGGCCCAGGCCCAGAGACCGTGCTGTAACCCAGAAGGCACCACGGGTAGTCTAGATGCAAGAACCACACTTGTGAGCACCCACGTGGGGCCCATCTCCTGCAGACTGACCTGAGTGTTGAAATGGACTGTCTGACTCAGACGGACTTTCTGGGGAGTGCGGGTAGCTGCTGGGGCACGGAGACTGCGGGAACGCGTGTCCAGGCGAGGAAGGTGGCGCGGGGCAGGGGGGCTGCTGGAAAGAGTCCGGGTAGGTGGCATTGTGCGGCATGAGGGGCTCACTGTGCAGGGAGGCGCTTCGGAACTTGGCCAGGAGGCTGAGCTGGGGGTTGTACTCGCTGTGTCTTGGTACCAGTACTGGAGGCAGAACTAGGAGCAAAGAGAAGGAGAGATCACCCCGGGCTTGTTCCATCCGGAGGGCGTGGGACAGCAAATGCTTTCCCCTGGCCGTTTGTGGCGCTTTCCTCTGCCAGCCCCCTCTCCACACACGGGCTCACGGGAAACTCTGCATGCATCTCTACCCAGGAGTCTGTGGGCGATGCTCAGTCACCAGCCCCCTTCTTGCCGCCCGTGTCTGAAGTGGACAGCCAGGGACCAAGTTCAGGAGGCTCCCGTGCCTGTCCACCTTAGTAATGGCCTCGTATTGACTTTATAGAGACCCATCTTATTGACTTTAAGGAGATCCGTCTGACCATATCTTTCTTCAACTCTGCCAATAAAGTCCTCTTTGAAAGAGGCAAAGTCAGTTCCAGAGGCTTGCAACCAAACCTTCTAGGTGAAGCCCAGAATATTTTTCCATTAGAGACCACACTGAATTATTTAGACGATCAGATTCAATTTCAGACTCGCTGCTGCTGATGAAATAGTCTGGGTCCTTACCGCAATGATCTAAAAGCAAGCGACCAAAAGCTATCAAGGAAAACACAAACGATAAGCAAAGAAACGAGGTAAAAGATCAGAGGCTACAGGAAAAACCCATCAGTTACATTTGTTTGGGTGAGTGGGTCCCTTCCGGCCTTCCGCCATCTCCGCACTACTGAGACGGAGCCCACAGGCCTCACATAGGCTAAGCGAGCATCTAACACTGAGCCACACCCAGCCCTCTTTGGACTTAAGATAGGGTCTCCCTAAGTTACCCAGGCTGGCCTTCTGCCTAGTGTGTAACGCAGCCAGGCACCGAGCTTGCATCCTCTCGCCTCGGCCTCTGAGTAGATGGGGTTCCTGTGCCAGCCTGGCTTCCACTCATGAAGATGAGCATGAGTGGCAGCGACTCCTGTAGCTAGCTGCTCACCTTTCTGGATTACTCGGAAAAGTGTAACTTTTCCGTTTTCCCGACTCTCCTTCCTCTAGTCAGCTGCCAGGACCGACAGACTACCTGCTCTGTCGCTTGCCATTCAAACTTAGTCTAGGATAACTGGCCTTGGGATTTATTTTTTCCAAGTCCATTCCTAAATTATCTTATTAATGAGATTAGGAACCGTAAAGATGGAACCCCAGCTTTCCTGGCCACGTGAGGACCACACAGGATCCTGAAAATGCTAAGAGCAGTGTTCTGACCATAGTAACAACTTGAGGTTGTAGTGGGCTGTCCAATTAGACAGCTGTTGGGTTCCTCTAAGACTCAAGTCCCACGATTGTACCCTAGGGGATACCTTGCCAGGCTGCTCACTGGTGTCTCTACAGCTGTGTGGGACCACTTTTCTCCCTCAGAAGCTCACTTTGCACCTTCAGGTGCTGAGAAGCAGCCCTCAGAGGGAAGCCTTCCAGGTCAGTTTCAGCTCAACTTCTATAAGGAACATCACCTCATTCTATTATAAAGGTGTTGGGAGTGGGAAGATGTTATCTAAAATTAATATCATAGATGATTTTAAGTTGATACAATATTAGCCCATCTTTTTAGAAATTTAGATCTACAACTAAGGGCATTAAAAACTATCTACAGACATGAAATATTCAGACTGTCATAGCAAGAGAAACCTAAAGTGAAATGAAAAATGGAAACTCAAAAAATTCTTTGAAATCGGGTTTTTGAATGTTTAGAAGGAAAACCAGGTACATTTTTACATGTCACGTCCTTTTAGTGGTTATATTTTAGAATCACTATGCAGAAAGTACTTTTGAAAGATTTACTTTCTAATTATGCGTGTGGTGGGGAGGGTATGTGCAGATAGATGATCACAGATGGAGTTAGATCCCTAGATCTGCAGTGACGCCCAACACTGGTGCTAGGAACCAAATCAAATGGGGTCCTTTGCAGAGGCAGTATATGCTCTTAACAGCTGGGCATCTCTCCAGTTCCAGAAGGAATTTCTTTCCTTATTTTTCTTTTGGTGGGGTGAGGTGTTGGAGATAGGGTTTGTCTGTGTAGCCTTGGCTGTCCTGGAACTAGCTCTGTAAACCTGGCTGGCCTTGAACTCACATAGATACGCCTGCCTCTGCCTCCCGAGTGCTGGGATTACAGGTGTATACCACCACCACCCAACCAAAAAGAATTTCTTAATAAACATTTTCCCATTTAGACATGTGTTTTGGAGGTCTGATAGAGCCCAGATTTTCAAACCAATGAGGTTTTGTTTTGTTCAGGATCATGTTATGCGGCCATGGCTGTCCTCAAGTGCTGGAGTTGAAGTCATGTGCACTTTCAGACATCTCCCTGATAAGCAAAGAGAGTCCAGAGAGAAAGAGAGGAGAGAAGTCAAGATCGCTAAATAGAACAAATTCCAGTCGCCTTCCCAGACAGACCCCAATCCCTGTGAGCAAGCCCCGCACAGAGGAGACATTCTTGAGGGCAAGGCCGCATGTTTGGGAACCGTAAGGATGGCCTGACAACTGACCTCTGATATGGGCTGGGTGTGAACACCACACCGGAAGAGAATACTTGTGCCGCTCTCCACACAGCACAGTGGGCTGGGGTGATCTCTCCAAGTTCCTGGAATTAGGCAGATAGCCGACCAAAGAGAGAAGGTGCCCATTAAAAACCATCCCACCTGGAAGGCCACAGGAACACTCATCCCAAAGGGAACATTAGTAAAACTGCCACAGTCAGTGAAGACGAAGAGCAACTTCTTCCAAAGTAGGAGATATATGGAGGGACACACACACATGCACATACGCAAGCAGGTGTGTGTGTGTGTGTGTGTGCGCGTGCGCGCGCGTGTGTGTGTGTGTGTGTGTGTGTGTGTGTGTGTGTGTGTGTAGTAATTTTCTGTATTTATAACATAAAATCTTGAGCATTTTTTTAGGGCTGGGAGTGGAGTGCAGGTCCGCGGCAGAGAGCTCCTATCTGGGATGCAAAGCCCTGAGTTTACACCCAGCAAGAGAAGAAGGGGCCACAAAGGTGCTGTTGGGTAAAAGAGAAGTGTGTAGCATGTATGTCGGGTAAAAGAGAAGTGTGTAGCATGTACGTCGGGTAAAAGAAGTGTGTAGCATGTATGTCGGGTAAAAGAGAACTGTGTAGCATGTATGTCGGGTAAAAGAGAACTGTGTAGCATGTATGTCAGGTAAAAGAGAACTGTGTAGCATGTATGTCGGGTAAAAGAGAACTGTGTAGCATGTATGTCGGGTAAAAGAAAAGTGTGTAGCATGTATGTCGGGTAAAGAGAAGTGTGTAGCATGTATGTCGGGTAAAGAGAAGTGTGTAGCATGTATGTCGGGTAAAGAGAAGTGTGTAGCATGTATGTCGGGTAAAGAGAAGTGTGTAGCATGTATGTCGGGTAAAGAGAAGTGTGTAGCATGTATGAAGCCCTGGATGCCAACCCAGGAAAATCATATTTACCTTCCTCAGTCCCTCATGTCATTCCTGGACTCCTTCAGCCACGCCCCTGGACTGTTTCAGACTGAGATGGGACGCCTTCCATGTACCAGAGATTAGCCCACGCCCACTCTTTAGTTTAGCTCTGACAGTCACTGATTTTAGTCGGCTTGGGGTAGGAGAAGGTAGGATGTTTAATGTGTCAATTTTTTACAGTTAACCATTATTAAGGCATTGAATCTAGTAAGAACCAGGAAGGATAGCTAGGCATGGTGGCACACACCTTTAATCCCAGCACTCGGGAGGCAGAGGCAGGCGGATCTCTGTGAGTTCAAGGCCAGCCTGGTCTACAGAGCGATTTCCAGGACACCCAGGGTTACACAGAAAAACCCTGTCTTGAAAAACCAAAAAAAAAAAAAAAAAAAAAGAAAAGAAATTAAGAGGAAAGAAAGAAGGAAGCAAGTAAAAGAAAGAAGAAAGAACTAGGAAGGGCTTAGATCTCCTAAATCCACCCAAATAAAATGGCAATTTCTAAAATCCTACGAAGCTTACAGGCCTTTCAGTATAAGAATATCATAATTTTCTGACCGCATGATTTTGGAGCCATTGCTTCAGTTCACACCCACCCCCACCCCAGATACAGAGATCATCTCGTGTGGGTGCTGCATGACCAGACAACCCGCGATGCCGGATCCTGGCCCGCACGCAGGCAGGGGTTGGTGGAAGCACCCACCTGGTGTCTCCACTCGGCGGTAATGGTACGGGTTGATGCAGACCTCCTTCTGCTTGGAGCCAAAGGGGAACTCACAGCACTCCAGGGGCTTCAGTTCGTGGTGGGACTGCAGGTCCGGCCAGCGCCACACTCGGCAGTAGATGACATGGGGCAGCCCCTTGCGGTGGGACACCTGCAGACGGCCGTCCAGGGACCTGGGGATGGTGACACACTTGCTGGGCTGGCCTGGGCAGCTCAGCGCCCTCTCCAGCTCGTCCATGGCCCCTTTCTTCTTCTTCAACTTCTTCACCAGAGAGTCCACGGCCTTCTCTGCCCACTTCTCCTCCTCATCCCCCTGCTTCCAGCCCAGCAGCCTCTTCACTGCGGGGCTGGTGAAGGAGAAGAGGGAGCTGATGGGGGTGCTGGGGTGCATAGGAGGCGGACCTCAGGCTCCTGCGCGCGCACGGACAGAGGAGGAGGCTGGTCAAAGCTTGCGGGGCCCTGGGCAGCTCTGTACCAAGCACTTGTCCGCGGATGTCATGGGAACAGGCTTGCCTCTTCTTCCGGAAGCAGTGGGGGGCTGACTTCCTCCAGAGCCCTTGGGTGGGTGGATGGGAGACCCAACTCTGAAAGACAGGACAAGCCTTCATGAGCCACCTGAGTCATTTGCAGACTAGCGAGGCAGGACAGAAGGGACAGATAGCCCTGCCAGTGTCTTAGCTTGAGAACTCCTCCACGTCCTTGTCGACCTCGCCCTCCCCTCCTTCTCCCAGCCAGGTCTTGGTCCCAGCCTTCCGAATCTCTCTTGCTGTTGCTCTGTTCCTCTCCGTTTTCCCCAGCGCTGCCTACTGCCCGCCCCAGCATGGCTGCAGCTCCAATGTGGCCTCTCCCCTCCTCACTCTCTCCCGCTCCAACGTCTCTCCTCCCAAACACAAGTCCCACCAAATCACTTTCCTGTGCCAGGAAGGGCTGTGGCTCCCTGGGCTACCAAGCCCAGCCTCTGCCTGGGTTTCCAGGGGTCCCGGCCCCTCCCTCTGCAGGTGTGGTCTTCCTTGATCTCCCAGTCGCACAAATATAGTCTGCCCTCAGTGCGGGCACGCAGACAAATGGTCTGCCCTCAGTGCGGGCACGCACACAAACAAATGTGAACGGAAGACACCGAGATCTCGAACAGTCCCACTGCTCAGACGTCACGGTACGGCGTTTCAGAGCAGCAGTTCTCGGAGCGTGTTCCCAGGAACCACTACAGCTCCCCGGGGCCCCTCCCAGGCTGTGAGGCCCTCTCTTTTCCAAACCCACGTCTCTGTGGACTAAATTCTCTTCACACATCAGCCAAAACAACAGATCATAGCAAGTTGTATGAGGAGGTGGAAATGAGAACACAAATAGCATCCATTAAACCAGCATCCAAGAGATCACACACACACACACACACACACACACACAGACACACACACACACACACACGCACAGAGACAGAGACAGAGAGAGAGAGAGAGAGAGAGAGAGAGAGAGAGAGAGAGAGAGAGAGACTTTTTACCAACATTTTAAACACGGTCTTTAATTTTAAAATGTTTGCCCTGAGGCTGGAGAGATGGCTCTGTGGTTACGAGCATTTGCTGCTCTTGCAGAAGTAATGAGTTTGATTCCCAGCCACTCACAATCACCTTTTAACTACAGGCAAGTGGGATCTGTCGCCCCCTTCTGGTCACCTTGGGCACTACACACATGAGGCACACGGACACACGCACATGCCCACAAATAAAAGTGAAAGAAGGTTATCTTCATAAAAGATGTATTTATGCTAATAAATCAATAACTTTAAAATTACATCTACTTGTTTGTTCTCTCTCTCTCTCTCTCTGTGTGTGTGTGTGTGTGTGTGTGTGTGTGTGTGTGTGTGTGTGTGTGTGTGTGTGTGAGACGGTATGCCTACAGCGGTCAGAGAACAATTTGTGAGTCACATCTCTTCTTCCACCATGTGGGACCCGGGACGAACTCAGGTCTCCAGACTCTGTAGCCAGTGCCTTTCCCCACTGCTGGCCCGCAAATCATAACTCTGTAAAAATCGTTTTACTTTCCAAAATGGGGGAAAATGGACAGATGTAACCCACACATAAAAGCTAAAGCTTCTCCCTGACTTTTAAGTGGAAAGGCACCGTGGGCCAAAAAGTTTGAGAACCGTTTTTCTAACAATCACTGCGTCATACGGGTAACTGTGAGCACCAAATGTCACCATTGTCATGCTTGCTATTCTGCCCCCAAATCAGCTGGCCTCTCCCTGAAGCTCTCACCCCAGAGAGCCATTTCTTCTGTGCTCCCCGAAAAGACACACTCAAGTTTCCTGAGCTACGCGGCTGCGGCTGCTTTCCTTAGAAATAGCGGGGGACTAAGCCAAACCTTCTCCTTCCGTATTTTGGAAACCCGCTACCTCATCCATGCACAATGATGTTCATCTGCCACATCGCTGTGGGACAAACTAGCTCTTTTGAGTCTCTTAGAGTCGGCGTAGCTCAAAAACCTCCTGCAGTTGCTTCTCGAACTCATTTTTGAGTGCCATTTTCTCCTGCGTGCCCCCGGGGGAACGGTACAGCTTTCCGGGTCTCCTCATATAAATGTTTTTGTTTTGCAGCACAAGGCCGGTGCATGCTAGTACGCCACTTCTGCCTTTCACTCTCAACCATGAATTTCTTTGGGACAAAGGTGCTCTTTGATCCCCCTGCTCCAGCGGCCAGGATTAGCACCTCCAAAGAGCACTAAGGCAGCCTGGGTAGGCAAAGCTGATGACACCCAAGCTAGGAACACGGTGCTTACAAGCCCCGTCCCTCAGGAGGACCTTATTTAGGATGGTCCAGGGCAAACAGGTCCCCAAAGCTGTTCTTTTTCACTTGGGAGTTTGACTTACCCTCCATTTTCTTTTGAAAGGTTGATTTTGTGGCTTAACAAGTGTGAATTTATAAAGTATGGTTAAGTCACCATGGGAGTTCTGTTTACTCCATCTAGTCCGGCTGCCTTGCAGCAGTGGTTGGAATGGCCAGGAGCTTTCTGGAGCAGCGGGACAAGCAAGAGCATGAGCCCACAGAGCTGTAGACCCTGCTTAGTTTTGTGTGGGTTTGTTATTAGTAAGCTATGGCATAAATCTTTACGTTCATAAACAAGCTCAGCAGAATTTAACTAAGTACACTTTTAAAAAAAAGAGAGAAAAACTCTGCTTCAAGGAACAAATAACAGTTCTCTTCAATGGGGTTGCTTTGGCTTTTTGTTTTTAAATTGTGGATTCCTACCTAATGAAGTCATTGAAGCTAAGTGATTTGTATGAAAACAAAAGAAAAGAAAAGAAAGTAGGCTACTGTAAGTCAGCTAGCACAGACAAAGTAATCTCTGTGGTGTGAAGAATGAGACGATTAAAATCTTACATTCTTGGGTATATGTCTGGGAGCTGGGTACATTGACAATATGAATTTCATATTTTTAAATTATGCTTTACAATCAAAATACTTGAAAAGCATTGCTGTTAAACCATATACTTCCCCAGACTGTCTGAAGTTTACCTTGAGTGACGCTCAGGGGACTGCCATCCTTCACTGATGGACTACAGGTCTGAAATGCTTTGATTCTTCAAGTCTGACCTCACTGTGCATTGCATAATCGCAGAGGCCACACAGGGCCTCCCCCCCCCCCAGTAAGATTTTTAAGGCTGTAAGGCAGCTTCTATCCCAATAAGCAGAGACCTTTGCATTAAGAGAAACCCTGAAGTGTTAAACACAGAATTTCAGTGATAAATACCAACTTCAAGACTCTGACCTCCTGATAGAGAAAGAGAAAAATAGGAATGATCTGAAAGTTGAAATTTAAATCAGGCTGATTGGTGGGTACACAGCTATTCAGACATTGTCCTCTCTGTCGTCTGTATGCCCGATGTCTTGTTACTAGGAAATGTGTTAAAAACTAATCAAGAAGTCGGGCGTTGGTGGCGCAAGCCTTTAATCCCAGCACTTGGGAGGCAGAGGCAGGCGGATTTCTGTGAGTTCGAGGCCAGCCTGGTCTACAGAGAGAGCGTTCCAGGACAGCTTCCAAAACAATACAGAGAAACCCTGTCTGGAAAGACAAAAACAAACAAACAACAAATAAAACAAGTTTAGGATCTCCCTAACGCTAAAGTTCTTATCTGTCTAATAGTTTGTGTTTTCCCAGGAGGAGCACCGTGGATCTGTTAAGTGACTCCATTCCTTTTCCTAGGGCATTTCAGACACAGGAGGCACTAATGGGCCCTTGTTTATCAGGACCTGGCTTCCACAGGATCATCCATAGTGAAGGCCCCGCTGCCTGTGTGAGTTCAGCAATACCAGCTGGCCCCATGCAGCTTTCCATTGCTGGAGAATCTAAGTGTCCACTGACAACGGCCTCCCGCCCACGTGACCTTCTGATGGCACCAAGGCACCAAGGCAAACAAACCAAAGGAGTGAGCACCAAAGGCCGGAGCGCCAAGGGTGTGGCACGGGAGGGTGGGGACTTGGTCCGCTTTGTGGGTGAAGGAAAGCCCCGAGAGTGGGCACCGGGAGTTGCTGGAGACACCCCCCTCCCATGAAGGGAACTGGAGAAAGCTGGGTTACTCTGAGCATGAAGAACTGTTTAAAAATGGCCTGGCTGAAGTCTGAGTGGTCCCACTGGGTGCTGCTGATGGGGAGATGGACAGGGTGTGACAGAAACAGAGAGTGGCCAGCAGAGCAGCAGAGGAAGACCTGGAGGGCTCAGCTGGGAAGCAGCATCGGGCAGGCAGGCCCTGCACTGGGTCTTGTCTTTCTTCAAGAAGGGGGCTTTCATAGGCCACTGCACGGCCACGGAGGAAAGACAGCAGAAAGGAGCCCTTCACAGAACTAGGTGTGGCTTCGTGTGCTACCAGTCTCCAGTAGACCAGGCAGGAGACTCAAGGTCATTCTTGGATGACCAGCCTTAGCCTTATGAGACTGTGTTCTCAAAAGACAAATGGAGTGACTCGTTTTGAAGAAAAAAAAAACTGAGGAGAGAGGGAGAGGGAACAGAGGGAGGAGAGAAAAACAATGGGAACAGATGAAGGCACGTGGACTTGGCTAGTTTTATGTCAGCTTGACACAAATGAATCATCAGGCCAGGCGGTGGTGGTGCATGCCTTTAATCCCAGCACTCCGGAGGCAGAGGCAGGAGGATGTCTGTGAGTTCGAGGCCATGCTGGACCAACAGCCTCCAAGACAATACAGAGAAACCCTGTCTCATAAAACCAAAAAAAAAAAAAAAAAAAAAAGAGTCATCAGAGAGGAGGGGGCCTCAACTATGGAAAATGCTTCCATGTGATCAGGCTGCTGGGCATTTTCTTAACTAGTGATTGATGGGGAGGACCCGGCATATCGTAGGTGGTGTCATCCTGGGCTGGCGGTCCTGGGTTCCATAAGAAAGCAGGTTGAGCAAGCCATGAGGAGCAAGACAGTGAGAGCCCCCCCCATGGCCTCTGCATCCGCTCCTGCCTCCAGGTTCCTGCCCTGTGTGAGTCCCTGCCCTTTTGAAGATGAAGATTTGAAGATGAACAGTTACATAGAACCGTGAGTGAGTAGACCCCTCCCCCAGCTGCTTTGGCCACGGCGGTGCCATG